CTCTCTTTCTCTCTCTACCTCTCTGCACCCCCTCTCTCTCCATCACCGCTTCCCAAGTCCTTGCAAAAGTTCTGAAAGTTAGGGTGAAACCAGAGAACAGAGAGAATACACACCCAGTCGTACTCAAACTTCCCTTGTCCTCCAAAACCTTGTCCCTTGGTTTTTAAACAAAGTGCCCTGCCCCAGTTTTCCCTCCCCTTGGGTTGAGCATATCCCTGAGAGAGCTTTTGTCCCTGCACACAAATTCACTCCTTGGGTCCCCTACACATTGAGAGTGTCTTTGCAACACATGCCTAACCCATCTAACTCCACAGCATACCTCCGCACTCTGCCATGTAAATGGGCAGCCGGACTGATGAAGCTTCCATGTTGGAATCACTATACTTTGCACTTTGTGTTTTTATTCATAGTCCTATTGTTTTAGTTCAGCTTCTTTGTACTGCATGGAAAGCAGATGTTCACAGACAAAGAAGGAAAAATAAATCAACAAAATGTCCTAGTGATTATATTTTTTATTCAATCATGCCACAGCTGCTTGCCGAGCCCCAACCACTGCCCTGTGCTGGGTGCCGAGTGGGCAGATGAGAAGAATCAGGCTTGGTCCCTACCCTCAGAGAATTCGCACTCTAGTTAAAGTGGAGTTGGGTGGGAGTTGGAGGAATCTAAAATGGCACAGGACCATTATGCATGATCAAAAGAGGTGCCTGCCACACAAAAGGAGACATTTGAGGAGTGCGAGCAGTGTGTAGACAGAAGAGATCTCCCTTCTGGCTTGCAGACCAGGTGGCATTCTAACTGGGTCTTGAGAATGGGTGGGATTTGGGCATGTGGGGATGAGAGTAAGAATTATCGATGCCCCCAAAGACAAAGCAGCATGAGCAAAGGTATCGAGTTGGGAAAGTCCCTGTATGCCTGGAGTGAGTGAGTTACCGAGTGCTGGCAATAATGAGCTACCGACTGGCGTAAGGGAGGTTAGCCTAAAGCCAAGACAGAGTCCATATGACTCGAAAATGCTGGACAAAGTGGAGGCCGAGCAAAATTCAAGCAAAGATATAGGTTTCTGCTTCTGGAGACCGAAATCACAAACCAGAGCTATATCTGCTCCCACAAAATAGGCTGTAGGGCTCTGGTTATTGGATTTTACTCCTCAGCAATGGGAGTTGACCTTTCTGTGACTGATGATCAAATTCAAGAGAACTTCTATGAGAACTAAAATCTCTTTCTGGAAGCAATTACACTTGTCACGGCAGTCCACTGGATGGTTACCTTGCCTTGATTGCCTTCTTGTTCTTCGCTGCTACAAACATTTCATCCAGGAGAAACATGGGAGAGTGACAGAGCAGAGAACTCATTGGCAGAAGTCCTGCGTCTGAACGCAGCTCCAGCTCCTACATGCCCTTGTACAAGTTACTGAGACTTTTGGAGGGTCTGGTACCTCATCAAAAGAAGGAGGATAGTAATTCTTGCCCTGCCTTCCTCTTTAGATTGTCATGAGGCTTAAACTAGAGAATGAGTGCAAAAGTTTTTGTAGACGGTAGTGCCCTGTTACCAAGCGGGGAACAATGGTGTCTACAGCATTAGGAAATGTCTAAAACTTTGTAAAGATGTGATTTTGATTCCACATGCCTGGAGTATTAGCCACAGTGAAAGACTCCACTGCAGAAAGGGAAAAAGGTTGATTTTATAACACAAGAATAACAGATTATGCTTGCCTCTTTTGCACAGAATGACTTATTACAGCATAAACTAAATACAGGACTCTGAATAAATACTTGCTTTTCTAGTCATTGCATCTGCAAGTGTGCACACGCACCCTTCTATGAGCTCAGAGGATGCAGATGGCACAGACATATTTCCATTCTCAGATCATTACGTGTTTAGTGAGAAGAACCCAGAGCCAGAGTTCCTCTCTGTGGGTCAGAGCTGCGTACCTTGGAGCGAACATACAGGGGACCTTTTAAATGATGTGGATCAGATGACTGTGTTCTTTTCTCCTCCAAGTCCTGGTCAGACAAGCGTATCAGGCGCAGGTACTCTGACCTCAGGTTTGGCACACTCTCCCACATTTTCTTTACTGATTTTTTTCAAGCAGCTCTTTCTATGAAAACACACACATCAGAAGTATGTCCCAGCTGTCAGTTTGGTGGTCAGGACCCATCAGTGGGTACCTGTTTTCTAGAATCTTATCCCCAACCAAAGCCACCTTCCAAGGTACAGAGCAGTCAAGCCCATTTGACTGTGGGACCTCACAGGGCTATAAACCTGTCCTCCCCAGCCCATCTCCCCACAATAGGCAGGCTGATATTCTATGTGGGCAGTGACAGTAAATGGTTCACATCACAGCATAAGATTGAGACATGTGCATATCAAGTCTGAAAAGGATCTGGCAGGTAATTGAATTCCATTGGAGAGTTGACTTCCACCTCTAATTGGTCTCTGAATATCCCCTTGTATTGCCAATGTCATGGGGCACACACCTCATGGGTCACCAGCTTCCACTGCTGTTTGAGCTGTTGGGGCAGTGGTCTTCGTGTCAGCCTGAAGCCATTCCCACTGTGCCCTTTACACACTGAGCGTGCCACCAGGCACAGGTGGGAGCCTTCTCTCCCACAGGAACCCTTCAAGTATTTGAAAACAACTCTCACTTCCCTTGACAATACCCCCCAACCCCATTTTTTCAAGTAAAGCATTTTCTCACTACCTCTCAGTTACAGTTAACTTCAAGTACAGTCTTCAGAATAAGACTCTTTTGACAAAGATTTTAGGGCTGTTTGGCTGGTGAGGAAATGGAGTCTTCCCTCTCTGTTTTCCTGCCGGTCTTGTTGAATCACTGAGGATGGAACTTAGGACCAAGGTAAGAGCAACTCAGAGTCTCAGAAAGACAGACACTCATGGGTTTTAGTTTTGTTTTGTTTTTAACCTGCCTCTAGCCCAAGCTTGGCAGGGTGCCTGGCATTCATTTGATCATTAGGCCCTGGTATTAGCAAAAGGTTGCTTCCTTCCACCTGAAGAATAAGAAACCTATTCTTTGTTTGACTGTGAGATCACCCCAAACACCCAGCCCTGCTGGAGCTTTGTAATTAGGAGGTATTTGGAAACAACAGAAGGTTTGCTCAGAAGATCTGTGTCTGAGGCCTGGGTCTGCTCTCCTTACTCTGAATCTCAGTTTCCTCACGTGTAAAAGTGGATGATAAGCCTTTCCTTGCCTGAGTCTGAGTGAATCGTGCAATGCAAATGAGACAGGAGAGGTGACAGCACCTGGTAAGGGGATCTTCTAGGTGGGAATGCCCTTGCCCAGGACTAGGTTGTAGACCATCTCCAGCTTGCCCTGTTGAAAAATGAGAAAACTACGAGTTTTAGAAAAAGACATTCAGAGCTACCATATCTCTGCTGTGGCTAACTTCGTAAAAGGAAACATTTCTTTCTGTACCAAGGAAGACAATGATTCTGCAGCCTATTTACATGATTCTTCACACCCTATTTTAAAACCAGAAGCAACAAGATACTTTCATGGCTGAGAAACACTGTGTTTCCAGAATTATCTGCAGCCACAGAGCATCCAGCCATGCTCCGGAATTCAGCCAGGGAAGGGAATGTTTGCAGATGCTACTGATAAGGAGAAAAGCCAGCTTGGGACACACCCCCTGTCCAGAACCTTCACCTAGGATTTGAGGTTTGTAATGAAAATTTTGCTTTTGCTTTAAAATGCTATCTGTGGATGTTTTCCTAAAACTCAGAGTTGTCTGCTGAGCTAACAGAAATCTGGATGTTTTCTATGCTAAATGAATCCGAGATAACAAAATTGTAATAGTGATAAAATAAGGGCAATTTCTGTTTCCTGAAAATCGAAGCCTTTTCAAACTTAAGAAATGTGTAGATTGCATAAGCACTTACATCAATTGATAACATATAATGTTGTGGTACAAGACTAATTTTTCTCAAAAATAATTTCCATTTTGTACTCAGCCCCACAAATTATGTAGTTGGTCCAGCTCGGGTTCCTGGGAGAGAAACTAAAGTAGCATGTATCAAAGAGCATCAAAAATTAAGAATTTCGAGATGGCAGCAGCAAAGCATTAAACCAAATGTGGGGCCCTTCTAAGCATGGGGCCCCAGGTGACTGCACAGGTCATGTGCCCATGAAACCAGCCCTAAACACAGGAGACTGTACTTCCCAGTTCCTTTGCCAAACCCTTGATTAATGAGATGTGAGTAGTGGAAGAGAGGCGTTCCACTTTTTGGGTGAGGCAGTGAAAAGCCTTTGTGCCTTCTCCAGTCTCTTCCTTTCCCAGCATAGTGAACGTGGAGTACTTATTTTCAGCCGGTGGAGCCAACAGATTGAAGCAGTCACCACTGAGGAGAGCTAGTCTACAGAGTCACCTGGACCACGAAAGAAGCTCTTGTGCGTTAAGCCACTGAGACAAGGGACTTGTTTGTTACTGAAGCATGAGCTTAGCCCATCCTTCCAAATATGTAGGAGAAGGCCAGAAGCAGAAGAAAATGTCTCAACTCTGAAAGTACTATGCAGGAAAGGAAACCAGACAGTGAGGACTGGTATAATGGCTCTCATGCACTTGTTTTTCCATCAATAAAATAAGAATTCAAAGGTGATCCTTCACATGTTTCATTTCTATGGCTACACATAGTGCTACTTTCTCTCAATTCATTTAAAAAATGTTACCTAAGAAAAGAGATTATATATTCTCCTTGTCCTTTAGCCTCCCAGTCTCTGGGCTGATTGCCATCGTTGGCTCACTCTTGATTCACCAACACCATCAATACTTTCAGAATCAAGAGGAAGGCACTCTTCTGGGGGCAGTGTTCTGCTCTGTAGAAAGTATTTTATCAGGTAAACTTGAATTTGCGATCGTGATTGGATGGGTTTTTTTATTCCAAAAACTCCAGCTGATTTTGTAAGAGTCCCATTGTTTGAAAATTACTGAAACTGGTCCCTTTTGTCATTGTTTCTATGCTTTATCACCTTAGAGATCACTTTGGCTTCAGAGTTGTTCCTCATTGCTCTCAAACACCGGATTGCTGTAAGACACCCCCCTGCCACACTCTGGCATGTCAGAGTAGGACGTTTGGTTTAGCGGGGGCCAGCTGGGGTCATCTGCCAAGGCCCTCTGCCATATCCGATACTGGCTTTTTGATTGATAGCCAAAACACCTTTTGAATGTTGTCCACAGGGCTCGGTTTTCAATAATGGCCTCCTGCAAAATAAGAGAGTTATTCTTTACAACCAGAGGTTGGCTATGGTCCTCCATAGACCCTACGGAGGAGCTACCACATTAGCTGCTTAGATCCAGCTTGACAAAAACCTTGAGGCCTGTACGAACAAATCCAATGTGGTTTCATGAGGTAGGTCTCAGCCTCTCAAGCTTTTCCACTCAAGGAACTCTTCTGGGAAAAGAGAGAGTTCCCAGTTTTAAGAATCTGGAAACATAGCTTGAAGTAGTCTGCCTCGAGGATGAAATTCCTTTTGAATCTCATATATAAATTAAATTTAAAATCATTCAAATTCTGCGGTCCACCCCATGGAATTACCTTATAGAAAGATGTGGCTTTGGTGTGCCCTGCCATATGACTGCATAGTCCCGAATACAGGTCAATAAATTGGAATATGGGCCACAGTCTTACACCTGGACAGATCTGGATTCAAGTTCCAGCTCTGACATCTACTATGGACAAATCAGTTACCTTATCTGAGCTTCAGTGATTAGAAATAATAATTCCTTCTTTGTGTAACTCTCCTTACAATGTAGGGCAGGGCATGGTATAGATGCCTCCCTTTACCACCTTTATGAATTATTTACTTAACAAATAGCTATGGGGGCATCTGGGTGGCTTAGTCAGTTAAGCCTCCTACTTTGGCTCAGGTCATGATCTCGTGGTTTATGGGTTTGAGCTCTGTGCTGACAGCTCGAAGCCTGGAGCTTGCTTCAGATTCTGTGTCTCTGTCTTTCTCTGCCCCTCCTCCCTCACGCTCTGTCTCCCTCTCCTTCAAAAATAAATAAACATCAAAAAAATTTTTTTTTAATAAATACATAAGACAATAAGCTATGTACTGTGGCCCTATTCACTGTGGCCTCTTTCATCTACAAGTATTTCACTACAATGCATTTTTCTAAGATTACAGAAGACATGTCTCTTTGGAAACATTTTGGACTGCCATTTTATTTCATGAGTTAGACTGAGCCTCAAACAGGTCTCAAGTTATAACATAATACAGAGTGTATAAGAGGTTATTGTGTTATTTTTTCATTTTTATCGTAAGTCATAAAAGTTAACCATCTTAGAAGTTATCTTGAGAAAAACAAAAAATATGAGAAGGCCTGCTGTCCCACAGAATGAGAACTCATTTTGGTGTCTATCAGTGGTATCTTTGCTAGACTGGAAGAATCAATTCTATGGGATTCTACAAGGGCCTTTGCCAGGGTAGTAGTTTTCCTAAATTCCACCCATCTTTGATATTGGAATCTCATTGACAATGGAAATAATAGAGAACAGCTAGTCTGAATCTTTCTGTCTCAAAAAATGGATCATCTGTTAGCAGGCTGTTAAAGACCCACACAGCCATCTCAAGAGCATCTTGTAAACTTCAGGGCTCACCTAGCCAGACTTGTTATTCTACTTTTTCATTTTGTACTCAGCCCCACAAATGATTACTTTCCCACAGCAAGTTGCTTTTTTGTTTTTTGTTTCGTCCTTCTTAATTAAAAAGAGAACAGTAGTTCTCCATCGAGCTGGAATAGGGCAGGATCATAGGTATCCAATTACTGGTCTTAAAGTCTAACTTACCTCTAGGATATCTTACCAGGTTTTAAGCAAAAAAACAAACAAACAAAATGAAACAAAACCAAACACACATACAGACACACACACAGAGACTTTAGTGCTATAAGACATGCCTTGAGTGTTATCACAATTCTAGAAGTATAATGGCCTGTCTCACTTTGCTGGTCTGGATTGGGAAACTGAAGGACCGAGGAGTAACCTGTTCTGTCACTCTACATCTGATTAAATGCAGAACTAAGTGAAGTATGAAGAAATATGATTTCTAAAACAAAATAAAACAAAACAAAAAGCATAAAACAAACAAACAAAAACTTCACCACACAAGCTCTTCAGATTGGCTACTAAAATAATTCACACATACATACATACATACACACACATATATACACAAACACATAAGTAATAAAAACGAGAAGAATTAAAGCTATCCAGATTAGCTCCTATGCCTTTCAGTTGGAGGTTAGATCATGAGAAAGCAAGGTGAGGATAAGATCCCATTCAAAACTGCTCTAAGATTAGGGATAGTATCTTAGTCCTCTCAGCAGACCAGGAAATATTTGGAACTGTGCAACAGAAGGCCAGCCATCCCCCATGCCTGTCCCTTGAAACCTCTCT